AAAAAAAAAGAAAAAAAGCAAGGAAATGTTGGTGAGGAGTTTGAGAAATAGGAACGTTTGTTGCTGGAGGAAATGTAAAATGAAGTAGTTGGTGCAGAACACATTTTGGTAGTTTCTAAAATAGTCAAACTTAAGCACACTATGTACCCCTGCAGTATTCCACTTTTAAATATATATAAAAAAACAAACAAAAACAACACCTAACCCCAAAACTGACTCAAAAAGACACATGTACACTAATAGCTTCACAGGGAGTACATCCTGAGTGAGTATCAACAGATGATCCCTCGTAAATGAAAACATATCGAGAGGAAAAGAAGATGTCTGTTAAAAATTAGGGAACTGATTGGTGAAAATTTATGCAAAATATTCCTCAAAAAATTTAGGAATTGACAATATAAAATTTATGTTATGAAAATACAGGATTGCTCATGTGCAAACAGTTCCTTAAACTTAGAAGTATCTTTGAGGACCTCTCCTTTGCAAGACACCTACAGAGATTTAAAAATAATTATTAAATGGTATTTCTATTTGCAACTTTTTGACAATGCATCATACAGCCTTCCATAATGGTTACATCATTTTACACTCCCAAAAACAATGAACAGTTTCTCTGCAACCTCACCAGCATTTGATGTTTGCTGTTCTGTTAAATTTTGCTATTCTTACTGGGGTGAGATGATACCTCATAGTTGTTTTGAAGATTTTCAACATTTCTTCATGTGTTTGACATCTAAATGTCTTCCTTTGATGACGTGTCTTTTCATATATTGTGCCCATTTTTCAATTAGTTTGTTTATATATATCTTGTTGTGGTGCTCGAGTATTTTACAATTTCTAGATATAAGACCCTTGTCTGACATGTCATTACCAAATATTTTTTCCCAGTCTTTGGCTTCCCTTTTTACCCTTTTGGAGAACTTTTTGGATGTGCATAGGCATTTGATTCTTAGAAGGTCCCATTCATCTATTTTTTCTTCTCCTTGTTGTAGATCTTTCAGGATGCTTGGAAGACTGCTTATGTTGTGGATTAGGAAATCTAGAGTTCTCCTAAGCTTTTCTTTAATGATGTTTATAGTCCTTGGTTTTAGTCCTTGATCCATTTTGAGTTGGTTTTTGTCTATGGAGTGAGATGTGGATCTTGCTTGAGTTTTCTACAGACAGTTTTCCAATTTTGCCAGCACCATTTGTTAAAAAGTCTGTCATTTCTGCTCTTAACTGATTTCATCTCCTTGTCAAAAATCAGTTGACCATATGTAGATAGGCTCTATGGCACATTCTCAAAGAGTTCCAAACAGAAATACTATTTGACCCAGCAATTACACTACTGGGAATATACCCTAAAGAAACCATAATCACCACCCAAGCAGATATATGTCCACCCATGTTTATTGAAGCTTTGCTCACAATAGTAAAGAGCTGGAAACAACCCAAGGGCCCATCAACAAATGAATGGATAGAGAAGCTCTGATATATTCACACAATGGAATACTACGCTGCATTGAAAAACAAGGAACTCATGAAATATTATACAAAATGGGTGGCCCTAGAGGACATTATGCTGAGTGAAATATCTCAGTCACAAAAGGACAAATATTGCTTAGAGCCACTGTTGTAAAATGGGACTAATGTCGGGGGAGGGTGATAAAAAATGTATACTGCATTGAAACAGATGAGGGAGAGAACTACTTGAACCAAGAGGCAGATGTCAGAACTGAGCAGGGAAACACTGCATGGTTCAATATTGGGAAAGGTGTATGCCAGGGATGTGTCCTATCTCCATACCTTTCCAACCTGTATGCAGAACAGATTATCTGAGAGGTTAGGCTCTATGAGGAGAAGTGTGGTGTCAGGATTGGTGGAAGATATATTAACAATTTGTGTTCTGCAGATGACACAACCCTGCTTGCTGAAACTGAGGAGGACCTGAAACGTTTGCTGCAGAGGGTCAAGGACTACACTCTTCAGTATGGATTGAGGCTCAATGTCAAGAAGACAAAGATTCTCACCACTGGACCAATTGGCAGCATCAGGATGGATGGTGAAGAGATTAAGATTGTTACCAACTTTAGTCGGCTTGGCTCCACAGTCAACACTCTTGGCACCAGTATCCAGGAAATGAAAAAAAAAAAACGTACTGCAATGAGAAAGTCTGCTGTTAGGGACCTCTCCAAACTGCTGAAGAGCAATGGTGTTACTCTGGAGACTAAGGTGCATCTGATACAAGCTATGGTCTTTGCAATCACTTGTTATGCATCAGAGAGTTGGACAATGACTAGAAGGAAAATTGATGCCTTTAAGCTGTGGTGCTGGAGAAGAGTATTGAATGTACCATGGACTGCTAAGAAAATGAAAAGGTTCATCCTGGAGAGGGTTAAACCAGGCTGCTCCTTGGAGGCAAGGATTCTGGGGCTTTGTCTGACATACTTTGGACATGTTGTAAAGAGGGACAGGTCCTTGGAGAGGGACATCATGCTTATGAAGGTGGAGGGACAGCTCAAGAGGGGAAGACCCTCTATGAGGTGGATTGATTCAGTGGGGTAATCGGGAAGGGTGTGTCAAAGGCAGTTTGATTGGCAAAGGAAAGTGCAGGGTTTAGGGAAGCTGTACATAGGGTTGCTATAAGTCGCAAGCGACTTGATGGCACATAACAACAACATATCATTAGGTATTATTGTCATGACAGAAGTCCAGAATGAAGGCTGCACAATGGACTGGACTTGGGGAGAGGGATTATAACAATGAAAGAATTTTTTTTTTTACTTTTCAAAGGGAAGAGCAAATGGGAGGGGGGAGGGATGGGCAGGATATAAAAGTGCAACAATGAATGAATGGAAATCCTAAGTCTCTGTAAACTTTGATTAAAATGAATAAAAAATAATTACTAGGTGATTACTACACACAAGAGATTATTACTACAAGGAGTTTAGCACATCACAGGTGGTGAGGATGATATCTGATCAGGCAGAGTTTTATTAGGTTGTCTTTTTTTTTTTTTTTAAGATTCTGGGCATTATGAATCTGACACAATAACAAGAATATATAGAAGACTCAACTCAATGCCAGTGAGAAGAAATGCATTTTCAGAGACTATAAAGTGCATCAGAAGAGATTTCCCATCTTTCTCCTGAGAAACAGCTGATGGATAAAAACCATGTTCCTTTGAGTTGACAACACAGCTCTATCCACCAGATCACCAGAGCCCCCTTACAGGAGATTGTTGCTGATGTACAAGCAGTTGAGGCAGAACGAACTCATAGTTGACCCTTCAGGGGATTTTCAGAGACTGTGTATCACATGAGAGGAGACTGTCCATCTTTCTCTTGGAGTAGCTGATGGATCCAGACCACTTGACTTTCAGTTGGCAGTACAATTCCTTAACACTAAGCACTAAGCCACCAATTGTTGTTGTTGTTGTTGTTATTGTTCAGTGCTGTCGAGTCATAAGCAACTCATTGCAACCCTATGAACAAAAGTCCTCAACACTTGCGTACATGACTTTCATCCTTTCTCCAGGTTCATAGGGTTTCCAGAGGCAAACTATTTACGGAAGTGGATGCCACTCCTCCTTCCAAGCTTGTTTTAACCAAGTAGCCTATGACTTCTAAAATCAGGATAATCCATAATTTTGTCAGCAAAACACAAGAGTACTCATTAAACATCTCTGATCATAGAATTCTAGAGAACAGTAAATTACATAAAAGAATAGCCTCCTCAGCAAGTTGTTGTTGTTGTTGTTGTTATGTGCCGTCGAGTCGTTTGCGACTTATAGCGACCCTATGTACAACAGCCCTAAATCCTGCTCTACCCTGTGCCAATCTCATTGCCTCTGACACACCCATGCCCAGTATGCCAGTCACTGAATCAATCCACCTCATAGAGGGTCTTCCCCTCCTGCGCTGTCCCTCCACTCTGCCCAGCATGATGTTCCTCTCCAAAGACCTGTCTCTCCTTACAACATGTCCAAAGTATGTCAGGCGAAGCCCCAGAATCTTTGCCACCAAGGA